GTGCCTTTTAGAACACCAGTCTACAACCTAAAGTTGGTTTTTACTGCACTCATCTTCCTGCCAAGCCTTGACACTAAATCTAAAGAACTAAGCAATTTGAATTAACAAGCTCTTGGTTCTCTGGAGAAATTGGAGAGAAATACAGCATTATCATAGTTTCTCTGCTGCCAATTTCCCATGCCAAGCCCTGCTATCTACATTTTTCATAGTGCTTCTTGCTTTCAGCTGTTGTCTGCCTGTAGATAGTACACTCAGTCTGGGGTAGGAGGTGTAGTATAATGAGCATCTATTAGGATGAGCCTGAATTACTCATTAAAAGAAAACCCCTGATTTCTAATGGCCAACTCCCGAATGCAGGGTTTACTTTAGGGTTTGTAAAACCTTTTTCTTCTTTTCACAATAACCTCTAAGAACCTCATAGACATCTAATGTATTTATCCGCAGAAGTCCCCTGTGAATAAGGTGAGTGATGTTATCCTTATTTCAGACATGGGAAACTGATGTGAGGCCTGAACTGATTGAACAACATAACCAAGATCCAAGCAGAAAACCTGCAGCACAGCAAGAAATGCAATCCTGACTCTTATCCAAGCATCCTATCTAGAAGGTCATCCTTCATTTGACTCTGTTGGTCTCCAGGAGATGGTATGGTAGCAAACGACAGCAGAATTGCTGCTATATTCACTTCACAGCCTCAAAATGGGAATAGCTGCTCCTTCCTGGCTTGCAAGATCCTCACTCCTAAATAGATAATGATGCAAAATGCTCTGAAGGTCTGAGTGGTTCAGGAAGCTCCTGGCCCCAGAGCTGCCACACCAGCTTTATGCCACACGTCTACCGCAGCAGCGAGCCATTAATTTTGTTCCTAGACTAGAAGAACTGTTTTCCCCTGACATTTCGCTTCACTTTGATTTATGTGGGTCAACATCCAGATAAGGGGTAGTAATTTCTAAACTAACTCCAGGAAGTTTGGGCTGCTGGCCTCGCAGTGACTCTTTCAGAGTGCTTCTGTTCATCCAGCTTAGGTCAGATGTAACCCTACTTCTCCTGCCTCCCTGGTGTTTGGTCTCAGGGACTTTCAGGGCCTTGAGACATCACTACTAGTAACTCAGTTTCACAAGTGTTGGCCAATTTCTTTAATATTGGCAGCATCTTTGAACTTCTCTTCATACAAATTATTGCACAGTATTTCATGTAAATACAGTAACTAAAATAATTTGGATTTATTGAGAAACACAAGAGGAACACTGTACAAATGTTTGGATGTTAGTTGCCAGCAGCTCTTTAGTAAATTGATTTCAGAATCTTCAGGTCTTAACTTTTTATTTTTCCCATTCAGTGCCAAAACAGAGTGATATTTAAACAGCTCCTACAAGCTAAGGCCTTGACTTTTCTCCAAAATGACAGCTGCAGACTGGGAAGTGTGAATGAAAACTTATCTGTGCTGCTGATGGCCAAAAAGTTCTGCAAAATGCTGCAAGAACGAGAAAAATTTTCTCTCTCTGCATCTTCCCCCCTCCCAAACTAATCTGATTAGCTTCTTCCATGCTTTTAATTTCTGGGCATAAGTTTGCAAGCACGGCTGTAATTTCCTTTGCTCGGTGTTGTGCTATAGGGCTGCAACACAACACCTTTTATCCCAGCATTGGGCACCACCTTTCTCCAGCGTGAAGCTGGGAGGACGAAATGGCTGTAAGTGCTTGTCAGGAGCACGGTTAAAATGCTGAGGAAGAACGGAGACATCACCGATCTTCATCACTGAGTAACTTCCTCTATGTTCTTAACTTAATTAAGCAAAGGCCTTGCTCTGTTTTGTTTTCAGTTTCTGTCTGCCCCAGAAACTGGGGAATGGGCTCAGTGGAACGGGCCTCTGTGAATTACTCCAGCACCTGAAAATATATGATTTTATCTCAGTATCTGGAAATCCTGAAAACAGGTTGATGTACTGCCAGCTATTGCAGTTCTGAATATTACCACAGCAATTGCCTGCGGTGATGGCCACGGTTCCTTCTGACATTGCTGCATGGTGATCCCAGAGTGCCTTTGCCTTGCAGTCCCAGGAGGCTACAAATGGAAGAGAGTTAAGAGAAGGGAAGGTTCAGGCTCAAAGGGAAGAATGTTAAGTGAGAGGACTGAAGTTAAAGCAGGTAAAAGTGGAGAGCAGTATTTTTGAAAGAGCGCCTCAGGAACTGGGCTGTCTTCTGTCCCCAGAAATTTCACAGCTCCCAGAGAGGCAAACTCACCAAACCAGATTAACCACCAGGCTGTAGATTTTGATGGCACATGTGGTGCTTGTTTCAAAATTCAGTAGTATTGAAGAAAGGCCAATTTTGCACCTTAACACATTAAAATAATGAGGGTTATAAAAGTTTCTCTGAGAAGGTAGAACACAGAGCAAGTTGGCATCTGAGCAAAGTGGTAAGAAATTTATCTTTGCTGGTGATGGCATTTCCTCTAGGAAGAAGCAAAAAAGTGATAGAAGCATGTGCTTGGGAGGAAAAACACCAGATAAGAAGCTCTACAAGACCAAGTTGTGAAGCAAAATAAGCACTGGGGTCAGCAGGGCAAACCGTGACCTGTGTGCAGAGCTAGTGAGGAAGCAGAGCTGCTGCACAGAGGCAGAGCTCCCCAAGTCACCAGCTGAGAAGCAAGAGCGACAGGGACAGATTCATTCATCAGGAGGCAAGTCCAAGAACCACCCCCCTTTCCTTCCGATTGGCTTGTGGGTTTCCTTATACCCCTAAGGATCTAGCATTGTCCCTAACACGATGTTTAAAATACTGCTCTGAATAAAGTCAGGCTGCAGTCGTCTTAGTCATCTTTGCCAGCAGTGAACAATTCTTTCACATTCTGCAAATTCAGGCTTTATGGATTGAAAACATAGAAATCTCATACTTACTAATGTTAGATATGTGGACTTTTAACTCACTCATGTTAACACTCTGCTGTATAATAAACCATTTCTGTCCTTTCAAGTCTTTTTGATCTCAAACGGAGAGATAAATAATTAATAAACTGCCTTGGACTTTGTTGCTTAAGGTGTGAGTTTTATTTCTACCACTACTGTCAGTAGTAAAATGTGCTGACACAGGAAAACCAATATGTTTATTTAATTCATAAAATGAAACGCCTTCTATACCTGTATATGTATATATCTAGGTCTATTGTCTACCAGGATTAAGTATGCTCTGTATGCCCATACACTAATGGGAGATTTGACCATTTATCACATTACATAAGGACAACATTGTCTTTCTTTAATTTTTTCCTCATAGCTGTTCTTTTTCTTATTTTATGAAAGGTAAATGACTCCCCTTCTTTCCCTTTGGTTAGTTGGTTAGTGTTCCTATGCTGGTGGTTAATTCCTTTGAGACTAACTCCTGCTAGCCAAACCGCTACTTTGAGACCACCACTTTGGAGACCACCATCTTTTCCAGCTTCCCTTGCTAAGCTAAAACCTGTTGGGTGTTTGATTCAGAATATCAAGTGGCTTTCGCCAAAGGAATTTAACTTGCTAAGCGTAGGCACAACTGTTAGGTGAACTTGCAGCCTAATCTGTTTCTTAGCCAAAACCTAGTCCTAGGAATGTCCGTCTCCCAGTCTATTCATTGGTTTGTGCTGCTGACTTACCAGCATGCACATACCTGTATTGAGTGTGCTGTCAACATCTGCTACCCCTCTAACTCTAACTAAACATCAGGGATAGGGTAAGAGTAGGAGGGCGAGTCCCACGGGCCTTTTCCACAGGCTCAAATAGGACACAACATCATACTCCAATTTGGAAAAGCAAAATAAAACTGTTACCACTTGCATCTTCACTTTCTTCCAATGTCCAAAAAAGATTCTGGTCTGTAAAGGATGCTAGTAATTACACTGAAATGAGACAAAATGTTTGGCAGAAGCCCCTTTCGAGCCAAGAGGCACAGCAGCACTGCACACTTGACCTCACAAGATTTTTGGTGAAAGGTCAATTCCTCAAACTTACTTTTAGAGCACACAGAATCACACAAATTGGTGCTGCAAAAGAAAAGTACTCTGAAGTGCTTCTGTATTGAAGAGGGATTCGCTAGCAACTTTGATGCAAAATGTTTCTGAAAGTTATTATCAGTTTAAGAAAAATGCAATAAACCTCTTAAATTCAGGCCTCTGAGTGAACTGAACCAAATCCCAGTTTATTCAATTCTTAAACAACTTTGCAGTATTTGCCATTATTTATTGACTCAAAAAACCTATTTTGAATAAAAATTACTATTAATTAGTTGGTGTGTTAAATATATATTGATTATGCCATATCTGACTATTAACAGTAATCTATCCCAAACGGAATTTCTGAAGAGGAATTTTGTATGGACTGAGGTTACTGCAAAGGCTGCAAGGCCAAGAAGAGACAAAAGTTGAATTCTGCTAAGATTTAACCCATAGGTTCAAGTCCCATACACACTTCTACTGCTAAACTTTTACTGCTCCAGGATGTAAAATGGTTTGTATATTTGTAGGAACTGGAATGTGGCTTATCCCCATCACTCATATACATACAGATGGTTTGCTGCAAGGCAAACAGATTGTTCCTAATGTCACCTGTAAACTAAGTTTAAATACAGTTCTGTTTGAGTTTTATTAAATTCGTCATTCACACAGGGTTGGAAAATGAAATAATGCTGATACAGGAGTTTGTGTTTCAGAAATAGCTCCATTAAGACCTTTCGCCTTCTTGCTCGGTTCACCTATCAAGACCATAAGTTTTGATTATTTTTCTCCTCCTAAATCTCACTTTTCAAGGTCCTAAAGTAAAACAGAATTTACCTTTGCTTTCCAATTCTTATTACTAGTTATAAACAAACAACATATTCAAATTAAACACTGCTTTCAAAACACTTTTTTTTTTTTATAAAAGCTTTATTAAACATTCTGTGCATTTTAAAGAGCTTTTCAACCTTTAAAGAGTTCTCAATTATGCATTAACTTTCTTTATAAAATGAGGCTTGTAAACAAGTGCTATACAAAAAAGGTTTGAATCTCCCTAGGGTGGTAAGAGAAGCAGCCACTGTTCACTGGTAAATAGTGCAGACAATTGTTTCACTAACAACTCAAAACTATGTTAGCATCTGTATAGTAGATGCACTGCCTACAAGCCAGGATCAAGGAATCCTAACTCACCTTCTGATGCACAGGAGCTAAAGCCTGGCCTGCTTCGTGAAGGATGGAACAAACTGCACCACTTACCATGCCTAGAAATCAGTTCTGTACAACAGCGTGACACTAATAAGGAATTGCTGCCTTCTGTATCTACTTTTTCAATAACAAAATTTGTTTCTTTTGAAGTAGTTGCTTTCTAGAACAGGATCTTCTCCATATAAATTAGTTAAGGTTTTCTATGAAAGAAAGTGTAACTTGAAGCACTGAAAAAGCCAGATAGCTTAGCTAGGCTTCCATGTTACTAGAAGTTGTTTTAAACAGCCATCTCCATTTTGATAGGTGGATGGGGATTATAATCTTCAATCTGAAAGTCTTCTGCTTTAAAGTCACTGATGTCTTCAATCTTACGAAGAATTCTGAGTTTGGGGAACGGTCTTGGCTCCCTCTCAAGCTGAAATAAAAATATGTCCCAAGTTTACTGTACAAAGCTAAGATCTGGAGGCTGAGATTAAGGGTTGGCTGCTTCTGTAATTTCACAATTCAAGTTAGATCTCATTAGTCTCAATTCTGATTACACTATCCAGATTTTTCTCTCCTCCCTAGGAAGACTTAGACTCAAAAGAGAGAGAGGAAAAACTAAAGGATACCAGAGCATATTTATTAAGAGCAGCACCACAATTTTGAATTGGATTCCATGATGATTTAAGTGTGCACCGAACGTGTTGCCATTTCTAGTGGGGTTGTTGAAGCCCACACTAATGGCTGGTGCTTTGGGTGGTTTGGGACCAGACATATGATTCTGAACTTTCTGTCAGGCGAGGACATTCAGCCAACCTAAGCGTAGTCAAACAAAGTTCTGATTTTGAAGAAAATATAGCCATATTCAGCCAAGCACTAATTCTGATTAACTACTGTAAATTGATGTTACTCTTTACTAACACACTCCAAAGGTATTTTGTTTTACCCCTTATTAGGCAGGGTGGTTTTCTAAGGTTTTATAATGATGAAGTCAGAAGGGTGCAGGTTCTGGATCTTTGACTTAGACCTGGAGCAGCAGCAATCTGTCTGATTGTGCATATAATTCAAATACATTTCTACTACATTTCTGTCTTTACCAAGATTAGACGTAAGTTAAAGGCTAATATATTAGCCATTTCAAGTACTATGTCTATTAAGGAAGAAAGAGAAAGACAAACAAATTTGGATTTGCAAAATATTCAGAGTATCAAGTCTGATTGCAAAAGATAACTTTGTAGTGAATGAACACCAAGGAAGATACAAGAGTACAGAGAGAGGACACTAACTTGCACTTTCAGAGGTTCCACATGATTCAGATATATGTGAGCGTCTCCCAGGGTGTGTATGAACTCTCCAGGCTGAAGAGGAAGGAGATACATGAGGGTCTTCAAATAGTCAGCATTCAAAAAATAAAACATTACAATGCTTATAGCAGGTATTCTCTGCACTTACTGCAGAATTGCAACTTTTGTATTGATCTGGCTTATCAAGACATCCTTGCAAGCTCTCAAGGTCTCTCTCTTCCTGGACTAATGCACAATTAATGAATAATATATTTAATACCCTAACTTACAAAAGTATCTTTGAAATTCCACTAGGGTAATAGCAACTGTTACTGAATAGAGCACAAATAATGAGTTAACACAGATGGAAACAGATGAGGCACTGATGAGTTCAACTTTCCATTCCACAAATTTTCCAAGACTATGGTGTAGGACTTGCTGGCTTAAACTAAGCAACCTGACCACAAACTAGAGGCTGAAGAGTTTGTGGCAGTGCAACTCTCAGTCACAGGTTAGACCCCAAAGCACTTATGTAGCATCCACGTGGCTTTTGCAAGCTTGCAAGTTCTGCTACTTAGCAACCCTGAGCAATTTTAAGACCCCTTAGGTAAGTTTTATCAGCTATAAGCACATCTCTGATCAAAGTGCACACCAGCCCTTGGATACACCATGTTAAAATGATTTACACCTGACACTCAAAGAGTGGAACCATCAAAACCAGAAGAGGAAATAGCTAGGGGCAGAAGAACAGATGCATAACAGATATTATATTGAACTTCATTTCCCTTGGCCTAAGTCTTGTAAGTTATCTGCACTTGCTCTGAAGCTTGATTCTTCCTCACTTTCGGATTTGAGCAAAGTTCTCTTTAATGTTGTGGCTAATCGCAGCAGGATCAGGCCCTAAATGACCTTGCTAATGTAATTTAAGAATTCTCAAGAAAGGGATTTTTCACTTGCATAAGATTGCATGTAAATTATTCTGCCAGTTTATAAAATACAGCTATCCAGAGACAAGGCAGCAGCTGTTCGAGCACATAACAATTTACAAAAGGAAATGAAAAAAATATACCCAACTGAAATTACGGCAGGAAGTCATGTAGGCAGAATACTCCAACTACAATCTTGAAAGAAACCACTGACCTAACGTTCATTTCCAGTAAAAAAAAATCTGCTACAGAATTTTTAATAACTTGGTATGTTTAATAACCAATAACTTAGTATCATCATAACAACAAGTGCTTGGTTCAGATTTTTGGTTAAGTAAACCAGTGAAATAGGTCAATTTAGACAGACTCAGTTGAAAAGGTCTTGTGGATGTCCTGCCCACTTGCCCTGAATTCAAGAATTCCTACAGTGCTGAACACAACTGCCAATACAGACATGCAGCAGCTCATGTTAAATTCATGGGGCCCTTTCCTGCACATATTTCAGTACAGATGTTGAACTCCTATGTTGATTGCAGTTCTTCCTAAGCATGAGAGTCGATTTTTTAGCCCCTCACTGTTCAGACAGGATTAGGTAAAATGATTAACTAGCCCACCTACCTTTAGGCCTGTGACATGGGCTATCATGTATGTGAGCAGTGAATAGCTGGCAATATTGAAGGGCACTCCCAGCCCCATATCTCCAGACCTCTGATAGAGTTGGCAGGACAATTCACCATTTACAACATAAAACTGACAAAGAGCATGGCAAGGAGGCAAAGCCATCAGGGAAATATCTGAGGAATTGCAATACAGGAACAAAGAAGAAAACAAACAACATTAGTGAATCATAAATGTAAAAGATGCATAAACTGGATAATCACTGTATGAGATACAGCAGACACCAAAGTCAAACAGCACGACCATTCTCTTGCTATTTCTCTGTGTTTTTAGAAGCACCTGTTGCCTAAAGCAATGACTGGGTCATCACAGACTGTCTCCTGAGCTGCAGAAGCAGAAGAGTCATAGCAGATATTGCACACAATTGTGCCATAATGCTGCACAGCTTAGTTTTGCTCAGCTAGATGAACCAGTTCATTTCCCTAAAGGAAGACATTCCAAGTAAAATTATGCATGTACCCTGAAGCACTTCTGACTATTTCATCTTATTCTCTTCCTACGTAATATATCTTAAGTGCTTAATGAGGTAGAAAACTGACTAATAATCAGTGAAAAAAAAAAAACAGAAAACAAAATTGCTGAGTGTTTATCTACAAGTTTATCACAGCTAGGTAGGTAACCACTTAACCAGCTGCTGGTATCTGAGAACAGAATGTGCCATCCCCTTTTAGAGAAATTACTGGAAAATGCTGGGGCATCTTCTTTGCACACAGTTCTAGTAACGCTGCTAAAGTCAAACATTTTCTGACATTGGCTCTTGGCTGCCCTGCAAGGGGCAGCCCTACAGAGTAAACAGATATTTAGACAGCCTATTTCCAAGGAAAATGATTACAACTCAAATAATCTCTTTGTTCTCTACTTACAAGTATTTTTAAAGTTTATAATTGCACATATGGTTAAAACAGACCCATGCTGTTTTGTACGCTTTTTGTTGTTCCTTTTTAACCTTATTTTAATAAGGTGAATGGATGCTGAATCTACTATTCTTAAAAAGAAATTTTATGTCAAAGACAGTGATAGACACAAACATTCCTCACTTTAAGTTACAGAGAAAAACTTTGAAGCAATAAATTGTTAAGGTCTGAAGACAAGAATTAAATACAAGAGAGTATAGAGCTTATATTTGCTTAGATTTGCTCTCTGCAAAGAGCAAAGCCATCAACATGGAACAACTATTGACAACGAAATCATAGTTCAGCACACAGCAGGATAACATGTAACCACATGCACTCAAAATAAGCTCGCCAGTACCTTTTGGATTCCAAGCACACATAATGATTCTTCTGTCATCTGGATTATTTCGGATCGTTTCAATCACTTTTTGCAACTGATCAACTCCTTGGTTGGAGTAATCTGAAGAGAGAAACAAAGTAAGATCCGAGTTTGACAGAGTCAAGTTATTCTTTCTTTTTTCAAGCCCAGACTTTTTCCCACTGAAGTATGACACCCAAATGACATCCCCTGAACATTTTATCACAGTTTTGAATATGATATATTTATCAGTTGGTATTCTCCAAATGCAAGCTATTCTTTGCTGCTCTCCCTTTCAGTGTTCCCTAAGGTATTTATAGTATAACCTCAGCTCTTTGATGGGCTTCGAGCACTTGTAGCACTCACTGAAATGGGCCTGTTCCCACTGGAACCTTTTCTTCCTAGTCTCAACTGGAGAACTCTTAAGACAAAGAAAGAAGTGTGATAAAAACTACATGCCAGGAAACAAAACCCGAAATACAGAAGAATAACTGGAACAAGCCCACCACCTTATCACTCATAATGAGTTACTATCTAAACAGGACAAAAGTTGTGCTGGAATGGGAAACAAGGCATCTATGCTATAGTGTTACTTCTTTAATAAAAGAAATGTGGCAGTGCCAGAACTCTTAGTTCTTAGAGCTGCCACTCATAAGGCCACTTATGCAGGATAATTTCCCACAAAGTTCAAAGCCAGAAAGGAACTTTAATCACATAATATATATCGTAATACACATAGCAGTGTATTACATTTCCCACAGGTTCATTTTTCCATAGATTGGAAAAATCATTGTTTGACTGGGGTTGATTCCCCATAGGTTGATTTTTAGGCTCAATTTTTAATAGGCTCAATTAATTATATCAAAAATTCACTGGAATTAATAGAGTAGGTAGAATGAATTAGAGTTACTCTCAGTAACAGTCCTAAATTGTTATTCATTATTCTAACTCATGCCAGTGAATCAGCATTCTTGGCAACACAATTTTCACTAGGAACTTTTGTTGCAAAGCAAAAGCAAACTATGGTCACCCAAGCTGGCAAATAAGGTGGTGATACATAATTACCATCTCAGGGATTTCTTCTGCCAATAGCACTGTGCCAGAAAGCCTTTTTAGAGGGTTATGTTAGCTCCTGAAGCGAATTACCTATCCATGTTACTTAGTAATGTTACTTAGTAATGCTAAGGTAATTTATCTTGTTCATTTTTGCCAAATTATGTTACACTTCAGACTTTCTTAAATTCAGGAATGTCAAAAAAAATTAGTAAAGGTTTCTTGACTTGTCAGTTCTCCACTTGTGTTAGTATAAAACTATATTGTGGTAGCTGTTAGGATGCCCGTATAGCATCCAACTGTAATTAATCTCAACTTTGAGACTATATTGAACAAAAACAGGAGGAAAAAAATAGCCAAATATGCTATCAATCTACCCAGGTTAAAAATCACACCAATCAGACGGAAGCAATCCTGTAAATTCAGCCTCTCAAACAGGTAACTTATTTTGGCTTTTGATTCACAGCATGCCTTTAATACTCAAGACATCTCACCCAGAGACCTCTGAAAGAGAGGAATTACAGCCATCTGACAAAGTTTCAAAGGTGCTGTTTTTATGGCCTCACCTGTGTGCATATCTTTATATTCTGCCCCAAAGTGCCTCCATTGGAAACCATAAACAGGTCCCAAGTCACCCTCTTCTCTGTTGCAGAAACCCTGCTTATCCAGGAACTCACGCGACCCATTGGCATCCCAAATCTTCACACCCTTTGCAGAGAGTTCTTTGGCATTTGTAGAACCCTACAAAACACAGACAGTAAAAAATCATCACCAGATAGTGGCATGATTTGAAATACTTGAATCACACTTTAACAGCAAAGGCATTTCTTCACTTATACCAGAAAGCATGAACAGTCTGCCTGCTCGTGCACATGGACAGCATGCAACATGCTCTTGCTCATGGGCAGCAACAGCATGCACCATGTGCTAAACCTGGACTAAGATTTGAAGTGCCATCCTTCAAATCTTAGTCCAGGTTTAGCACATGGTGCATGTTGTTGCTGCCCATGAGCAAGAGCATGTTGCAGATGACACCAAGCTGGGTGGAGTGGCCGACACTCCAGAGGGCTGTGCTGCCATCCAGAGGGACCTGGACAGGCTGGAGAGTTGGGCAGAGAGGAACCTCATGAGGTTCAATAAGGACAAGTGCAGGGTCCTGCACCTGGGGAGGAATAACCCCAGGCACCAGGACAGATTAGGGGTCAACCTGCTGGAAAGCACCTCCACGGAGAGGGACCTGGGAGTCCTGGTTGACACTAAGTTAGCCATGAGTCAGCAGTGTGCCCTCGTGGCCAAGAAGGCCAATGGCATCCTGGCCTGCATCAGGAGGAGTGTTGCCAGCAGGTCAAGGGAGGTGATTCTGCCCCTCTACTCAGCTCTGGTGAGGCCGCACCTGGAGTACTGTGTGCAGTTCTGGGCACCCCAGTATAGGAGGGACGTGGAGCTTCTGGAGAGGGTCCAGAGAAGGGCAACCAGGATGATTAAGGGAATGGAACATCTCTCGTATGAAGAGAGGCTGAGTGAGCTGGGCCTGTTTTCTCTGGAGAAGAGACGGCTCAGAGGGGATATGATTAATGTGTATAAGTTCAGGAAGGGAGAATGCAGGGAGGAAGGCGACAAGCTGTTCTCACTGGTGGCCAGCGACAGGACGAGGGGTAATGGCCACAAGCTGAAGCATAAGAAGTTCCGTCTCCAGGTGAGGAGCAACTTCTTTACTGTTAGGGTGACAGAGCAGTGGCACAGGCTGCCCAGGGAGGTTGTGGAGTCTCCTACTCTGGAGGTCTTCAAAACCCGCCTGGATGCCACCCTGTGCCACATGCTGTAGGTGTGCCTGCTTGAGCAGGAAGGTTGGACTAGATGATCTGTAGAGGTCCTTTCCAACCTTAAATATTTCTGTGAATCTGTGAATCTGTGAATCCTCCTACTATTTAACTCACAGTTCTTCTAACCTTGCATCCTCAACAACAGTACAGACTCAGGTCAACTGTGGTGCATCAGTTTGTATACACATCTGCAGAGAACAAGACTGTACTTTTTGGATGAATAAAAGTAGAAAAACAAAAAGCTTACGGCCTTGACATGGACTTTCCAAGCCACCTATCCTAAATTTTAAGTGAGTGTTCTTAAAAGTCTTTTTGCTAAAAATGAAGAAATACCCAGAGAAATTTCATTTAGTTCTGCTCAAAGGACAAATCAGCACTCTCAAAAACCCAGCATAAAAAGCATTCAGCTCCAAGCAGCAAAAATGTGCATCTGAGCCCTGCTACCTATCAAATGCTTAGATGTAATCTTACCACACCAGTACTTGTCACAGCATGTCAAGGGACACATATGTCTGAATTTTACTGCTCTCATTATAGCTATGAGGTATGAAAATACTTTGCTACCAAAGAGCCTATTCTTTACATCAGTCTTCTTGCATCTGTGGTTCCTCACTGCCAGTTTTGGTTCAAATCAATACAGGCTATTTCAATATTAAAAAAGCAGGCAATTAAATTGCCCACGATCTACTTCATATCACTATTTCATATTCAAATATTAATAAAAGAGTCTTTAATGGGCTTTATATCTATGGGATACTGTTAAAAATGTAAAGTTTCAGAGTAGTTTCTTTAAAAAAAACCCAAAAGAATAAATATCCTTCTGCTCTGTAACAATGGGTGAGTCTTCAACAGGAGTGGAAAGTTTTGTAGATAATGTTAGATTTCCGCAAGCCTTAGAAATACCAGGTTGTTTTGCTTTCGTCTGCTTTGCTGTTCAGGCCGAGGCACCTGCAGTGCCCCTGCTGATCCGGATCAGTATCAGTGTCGGGCACGCGTGTGACCCAGCAGGGCCGGGAGGCGGCCGAGCAGCGCACCTTGATGAACCAGAGCAGCTCCTCCAGCACTCCTTTCCAGAAAACTCTCTTTGTTGTCAGCAGGGGAAACTGGTCTGGAAAACAGAGTTCCGGAGCGTCAGGGGTGACAAGTGGCACTTTGTCAGCGCGAACGGAGCCACGTTTGACTCTGCACGGCCTGAAAGCAGCCTGCACGTGAAGGAAGGACTGCACGGTGCCCTTATCCAGCCCAAGCAAGGCAGGAACCCGCTTCCTTTTCCCGGAGCCCGGCACGGTGGCAGATGGAGGCGGGTGAATGGTAACATGGATTTGCACAGCTCTGCCGTGAGGACATCCTGGTGTGCCATACAGGGGTAGCCGCAGGCTACGTGTGGCACACGGGGAACCTGCAGGCTTTGGGCGCAGGTTTGGTCAAGGCTGTTTCCCAAACACCCTTCCCACAGGCACGACAGGGGGTGCCAGGAAACGCGACCCCCAAGAGTACCAGCAAACGGGTCAGGGAGGGCCGGGGAGTCCCACAGCCCCAACGGTCACCCGTGCCTGGCTGTGACAGAGGGCAGAGGTCCCGGAAGATAAAGAGTAATAACCAAATTTTAAAAGAAACAAAGTTAAGGCCTCGCGCGCTGGTGGGGATTTCTACAGGGCGGCGAGAGGCCGAGGAGGCGGCAGGGGCGGGCGGGAAACGGGAGGCACGCAGCGCGGGCGGGAAACGCGCGGCCGCCGCCAGGGAAGATGGCGCCGCCCGCCAGCGCCGCGGGGCCGCCGCGCATCGCGGCAGCAGCGGGGGTCCCGGCCCGGCCCGTGGCGGCGCGGCGGAGCCGACCTCTGAGGCAGTATCGCGCCTGCATGCCGAAGACGGAGAGGGTGCCGGTGCCGGTGCGGTCCTCCTTCCTGTGGCCGTGCTGCAGGATGTGCCGCACCTGGCGCAGGTACTGCGCCTCGCCCGGCTCCCCCTCGGCCGGCATGGCGGCGGCGGCCAGGCGGAGGGAAGGGAAACCAAGGAGAAGGAGACAGAACTGCAACCGCCACCGCTGCTGCTGCCGCCGCTCGCGCTTTCCCGCCAAGGGCGCCGCGACGCCGCCTCCCTGCGCCCCGTCCCGCCCCGCGCCGCCGCACAAGGCGCCGCCGCCCGGCTGTGCTGGTCGGGGCCGCAGGGCGCCCCTCGGGGCGGAGCGGGCCCCGGCTCGGGCCCCGAGCCGTGCAGGCCCCTCTGGGATCCCTCCGGCCGTGCAGGCCCCTCTGGGATCCCTCCAGCTTGGGTGTCCCGTTGCCTCCCGCGCTGGACGGCCGGTGCCTCCTGAACCGCGCGTCCCCTCGGCGCATCCCCACAGGCAGTGCCTCCTGCACCCGTGTTTTTATACACACAGAACCAACGTACACATCACCCGTGGGTAGCGGTGTTTCCTTTTGCCGAGCTTCACCTTATCTCTACGGCTGTTTCAAGGTCTTTTTCAGCTCTGAACTGCATCCCCAGGGCTCCCAGCTCAGCATCACCTGCAGGGTCTGCAAGCGCGTGCGCTGCTCGCTCCTCTCTGAACATAAAACCTCCAAAGTTCAGTTACCTTAGAGACATTTAGCTTTCGGAGCCAGCTTTCTGCCACCGGGGTCACTGCGGGAGTTAAGAGTGTCCATCCGTCAAGATTTGGTTACCATAAGAAACATATATGTACAGCAAGTACGTATAGAGCAGGTACCTATAGTGCAGGTGTGTGTGATGGAGGATGAATAGAGGAGAGGGCTGAGGGTGCAAAGCACCACTTACTGCACACAAGAAAACACGTTTTCCCTAATAACCGTTCTTCTGGTGTAAACATGTACAGTTATTTTCTAAGTAGAAATTCAGGGAAAGGTATGGTGTAAGTATGGTTATTTTACTACGATAATAACTGGCACAAATGGTTTTGCATGCTTTGAAATGAATACACTGATTTAGCAAAGATACAATTGGAAATGGGAAGTACAAAATGTTATGTTTGCAAAGAAAAAGGTGCAATTTGAAATGGTTTTACTGCTTGCAAAGAATACCTAAAGGTGCCAGGCTTAGCGCATGAACCCAAGGACGCCCAGAGTTCTCCTTAACACTCAGAGATATGCCTATCCTTAACCTTTATTTTAATTGGTAGCTATCATTGAAGTTAATTGTACAATTTAGGAAAAATACACATCTTTCCTGATGAAAGGTGACACATTAACATATGACTCTGGATGTGAGCTGTGAATAAGAAATACCAAAGGCAAAAGATTGATGCATATTGAGAAAAGTCAGCTAACGTGCATGATAAATATCAAAAGCAACTCGAGGAAGCAATAGAACATTTTCTTTGGAAAATACCATGTTGCAAGCATGTTGATATCTGATTGATGTCAGGCTTAGCTGAATGTGCAATATCTGTGGGGAAGGATCTTACAAAGGTTTAAGAATGCACTTGAATTTAAACATACAAATAAGAATTATTTGCATGCTTATTATTTCCTTAAATCTTTGCAAAACCATGGCCATAGCTGGTTGTCAGAGAATAGCTAACATTCAACATGCCTAAACTTTTATTTAAACAAATTAATATTACAATAGGTTCAAGTTTGTTTTTCAGTTCAAGGATTGCTACAGTCTTGAATTGCTAACTTGTACATCACAATATTTACCAAGCAAAGTTTTATTTATATGCAACTATTTTAGCTGTAGATGTTTAACAATTAGCCATACATTGAACTTTGGAGCACTTCATCTAAAGAGAATATAATGAGTTTCAGGAAGACTTCACTCATCTTCTTCTCTAGAGGAAAAAAGATTTTTGATTAAATATTTTTGGACTAAAAAAAAAAACAATTTAGAAAAACAAGTATGCAGGAAATCTCCCACTGCCCTGCTAAAGAAATGCATACTACTTAAAAAAATCAGTATATTATTTTAAAATTTATGATTATTTTTCTCTTTTGTACAAAATATTCTTGTTTTTTTTTTATTTATTGCTTTGATTGTACATTCATATACCCCAAGCCATGTGCAAACTGAACATATAATGGTATTGTCATTTGCAAAATAATACAATTTACTTTTCTCTGGTGTAAGATGAGTACACAGATGGCTGACTGCAAAGGAGAGTCAGACAAAGACTGTCTAAAAATCATAATCAGATGAAGAGGATTAATAGTGTTATCATTAGGCCTTGAAGGTTAGTCTTAATGTGAATCAAAAGAGTATTTATTGCTCATAACAAATAACTTTGAAGGAAAACTGTAGAGACTGTGCTGCGCATTTTATATATTGAAAATATTGTACTTTTTAATATACATGTAATTTCACCAATATAAACCTAATCAAATTTAGTGGTGAGGCCTGTATTGTATGGTCCTCTTTTGTGGAAGAGATTTCTCTCAGCTGTTCAAAGATCATGAGTCTGACCTCAGAGAATTAAAGACAGTCAATTAAAAGCTACTGAAATTTTCACCAAATCCAATGACTCCTCAGAAGCAGAGAGGGACACTGCCGGGATCTGCCTGTATATCTCATGCCTGTTCCAGCTTTGGCCCCTTCCGAGAACCTGGAGCCACTGGAGCTGTGCTTCTGGGACCCGCTTACTCCCAAGAGGCTGGCAGTCCCCACAGCAGAGTAACGCCACCTGGACCTGTCCTGTCTTTTCTGCTGGTTCTCCAGGGGGTTAGAAAATACGAGGTGTTGTTTTCCCCTGCTGCTCTGCCTGGTTCTGCCCTAGTGACACTGCACAGAACCTGGAAACAGAGCACTGTTAATCTGAGCAGAGCACTAATGTGAACGTTTGATGGCAAAACAGCTCTTTCAAGTAACAATGATGATTTTAATTTTGTCCTCCTTCAAGCTTGAAGATAATATGAAGCACACCATTATCTAACCACCTGAAATAAAAAACATAATGCGATAAATCCAGACTACACTTGATTAAGGAACATAAAGACATGGTATCCAATGCCAGAGCTCTAGTCTGTGGTTGTGAGGTGATTCCTTGCTCATGGAATTTTTGTCATTGAATTATCTCATCCCAGATGTTCTTAAAAGATCAAAAGTTTCACATTTAAATAAGTTGCATCTTTTAATACTATCATGTCTGTGTTCTGCTGAGCATTTGTTTCAGTTTTCCATATCTCTTTTATCTATCTAGCTATCTGTTATCTATCTGTGTATCTATCAATCTATCTGTCTATCAGCTATGGGTCATTGATGAAGAAAGAGTCTTGAATATACTGTGACTGAATCCTGTTCCAGCTAAAATTTATTGCAATGTAAGCATCTTATATGAAGAATTATGTTCTCTATGAAAGAAGAAATGACTAACTTACCACTTAAAAATTCTGTTTATAAAGTTGCAATGCTTTCCCAGCTATGTATTCAATGAATTCAGCACTCTTTGGGTCTAGATTGGGAGGAACTTTAATGGTAAAAGTAGGTGAAGTCAGAATATTGACGTCTACCACTGTTTCATTTGTACCAGAAAGATCCCCAGGTACCACCTAGGAGAGAACAAATTAGTGCTTTATGTAATTCTTCCTCAATAAAAATGGTAGACCCAGTAGATATAAATAAAACTGATAGGACATCAGTATTTGAAGTACTAATTTTGAGGAATATTTTAAACTCTTCTGCTTTCATTAAATGACTTTCTTCTGAGAAGACTGCCTGAATTCATGCTAAAATTTATCATGATGTGTGAGAAGAGGTGACATGGTGCAGCAAGACCATATTAAAGATCTACATGTTAATATTTATACCAGAAGTTACTTTTATAAAGACTTTCTGGTCTCTTAGCAACAACTTGACTGTGATTTTCCACACTATTTTCAAGAGGAAGGTTGTATGGTTTAAATTAATGATTCTTTGTGTTTTTCTAAACCAAACTTAGTTTTATATCTTTGTTTTTCCAAATTATATCACTTGGACTCAGTTAGGAAATGTGCTTAAATATTCCTGTATTCCTGATTTTGCAATGCTTTTTTTGGTGGCTTGCAATCATTTTGTATTAAGTTCTTGTAGTAATAGCAATAAACTGGATTTCTGAGTTGTCCCTACTCCAGTAAAATCAATTGAAGTACCTTGGATATATTCTTTTGTGTGAGACAGAGTTAATCTTGATGTATTTACTGAAATATTGATAGGTGCCGTTTATGATATGCAGCTTCTACTGCAATAACCTGCATAACATATATTTTCTTGGAGTTCTGGAATATACAGCTATAGACATAGAGGTGGGTATACATTCAGTGTTTCAGTAAGGATATATTACTGATTGGCACAGTGCAGCTTATCAGAGAAGTCCATCTAAGGCCATTTAAACCTGCTAGTGTCAATTTACTTTGGTTACACAGAGATTCAAGTTAACCGATCAGACATTCATTAGACTAAAAGGATTTAAAGGAAAATAGTTTCTAATCTCTGGAGTTTCATCTCATTGAGGGATTATCAAGCATACATAAAATCAACCTGAGTAGGAACTTTATGGTCTAAAGACCAAAAAATAAACATACACAGACATTTACAGTCTACGAAGAATGTATTAAGGATAACATTGTGCAATAGCTCCTTTTGGTAGATAACATTTACCTTAACTATATTGAAAATGTTTTCTGGTCCGATGGTCGTGTTGGATAATTCAGACACCCACCCAAATCTTTCTTTCATTTTGTTCAGCAAGAAGGAAGTGTCTTCTGTGTGGCGCTGAACCATCTGGAGAATCTGCTCGTACTGCTCACCCGAGAGATTAACCAGCTTAAAGGCTTCATCAAACTTTATGTGCAGTTCAGGAACATTTGGGCAATCTGTTTAGAGAGACAACGAGCATGATGACTGTGGGAAAGTATTATGTCTTGCACTTGGGCTTGTCTATCTGAAGCACAGAAGCCTACATTTAAAAGAAAATCTAGAAAGGGAGTATAGTTTTGTTTTGATTTAAATAATGCTGACAAAAGGAAGAATAATTCTTATTGACACCTTTTGGTGGATTTAGTGACTAAATGGATTAATTATCTCATTTGCTCTATTATGATGATT